GCTGCCAGCCCGGCGCCGTGGAGAGCGAGCCTCCGCACTGGGCAACCCTGCGGCCCCCCGAGCTGCTCCGGCCGGGCACGGTAAGGGTGCTGCGGAGGCTGCGCTCAGGGCGCTCCTGTGCCGCAGCGGGGATAAAGCCACCGCGGGGGGGCTCGGGCTCTCCCCTTGTCTCTGTGAGAGGCGAGGGTGCAGCAGGGCATCGCTTGTGCCTTCTCCTCTGAGCGAGGCAGCGCCAGGAAGAGGGTCCTTTCTCTCCCATGGGCAGCCCGTATGCTTCGGGCACGGTACCACACCTGGCCAGGCCCTGAGCTGGGGCAGAGCAGGTAGGGGAGAGAAGCCGTGTCAGCCACATTGGCTCTTTTGTGGCTGGACGTGGGTAGTTCTTGGCCGGTGCCTGGCTCTGCTGAGCTTGTTGCGATGCCTTGGGCGGGAGCTTGTCAGATCTGGTGTACATACAGGGTTTCAGTGCACCTAGGGAACCGTAGAAAGCCTAACGGACAGTGAGTGGTCTTTAGAAAGTGTGTACAGAAATGTCTTCAGTTATTTAGATACCTACGAGTGTATAGATAACTGTATCATTGTGATCTTTGCTGTACCTTATACAGAGAAACATACTCTACTGCATGCTGCTTCTTTCAAACGATCACTTTGGTTCAAAGTATCCCATATATTTGATAAGATTATTACTCACACATCACCTCTAGTTGGTAACTGACTTCTGCTAGTTTCCTTAGTGGCAGCTTAAGATGGTTGAACCACAGCTATATATACAAATATGCTCATTATAGGTATGGATTTTTGTCTATATGTTAAATCTACGACCTGCTTTTCAGAGCATAGTTAAACACTGTGCTGTATTGAAAAAATAAGTTCTGTTTAGTAAAGGGAAAAAATCAAAAAAGTTAGAACTAATTTTTCTCTCAAAGAAAAGTTATATAACTCCTAATAGCTGCTGAATGCAAATCAGGCTGAGTCAGCAGCATGTCACTAATCACAAGTTTGCACTGAGGTCACAGTGTTTTGGTTTTCAGTCTAAAGAGAAAATAGCTATTCTGTAGCACAGTGTCAGAAAATGGAAGTGTTTATGTTCGTGGCGAGAGATCTATCTCTATGTACAGTAAAAACTCTGTTACCTGGCATGTTGGGAGAATGGGGAATGCTGGTTAGTCAAATTAACTGCAATAATTGCAGGGGGAGGGTGTGGACTGTGGGGTGAGCAGTTTGGGGTGCAGAAAGGAACTCTGGGCTGGGAGTGTGGGGTATTCTTTTGGGGTGCTGGATCAGGGTGGCATTCACCCTCCGTGGGTCCCCAGAAGTGGGGATATAATCCTGCAGTTCCTAAGTGGAGGCACTGCTAGGTGGCTCTGTACGCTCCCTCTGTTTCCAGGCATCACCCCTGCAGCTCCCATTGGCTGCAGGTCCCAGCCAATAGGAGCTGCAGAGCTAGCACTTGGCAGAGGTCGTGCACAGAGCAGCAGGGTCATGTTGCTGCTTTCAGGGAGTCATGCAGAGCCAGATAGGGAGCCTTCCGGCCCTGCATCAACCCGATTATCCAAGAAGATCAGAAATGTCAGTTTATAGAGCTTTCCGGTTGAAGTGCCAGAGAAAACAGTGTTTACTGTACTTTTAAATTATTGTTTGTGAATGAGTATTCCTGCATTCAGCTGCATGTGCTTTAAAAATTAAATCAAAACTATATTTTTAAGCAAAATTAATTTACTAAATTATCCATAATGAGCTTTTATGAACTCCTTAAGGCAAGGCCATCTTCCACCCTGCCACAGGCCCCATCCCTGCCCTGCTACTGCTCTGACTCTACCCTGCCCCACGCCACTCCTTCCCACCAAGCCTGGTCCCTGCTTCCGTCTCTGAGCTGTCCTAGGCCTTGCAGGTCCTGTCTCTAGGATGGTTGGGGTGGCTATTGCAGGGCCTCCAAAAGCATGGGATAAAGGGCAGCTACCCTCACCATCCTGTGGGTGGAACAGCTTTGCCATCAGGATTTAATTGACTCAAGTCCTAAGACTTCATCATTCTGGATGATCGCAGTGGCCTTATGATTTATGAATCTTATTACAATAAGAAAATGTCAAGTAATACATTTCTTGATTTTTTTTTTTTATGAAAATGTTTTGCTACATATCTTTTGAATCCAAAATTCGTAGTGAAATTAATGGGATGTTAGGGTGTGCAAAGTATTCAGTGATTGACCCTAAAGCATTCTTGCCAGTGTTAACAATGTCTCTATACTTCTCTAAATATTTTTATTTTTATAACTTAGGTGAGGTTCATAAGCTTCTAAAATGTCGTCAGTGAAACGTCTAGTATACGCTGTCATCCATTTCTTGAGAGAACAAAGTCAACTGGATACTTTCACTTCAGATGAACAAGAAAGCTTGGAAGGTAAATACTGAAGGCCACATACCTGTGTGCTAGGTTGGTGGATACATACATCATGATGTATAAAGCAATAATTATATTAATTACTGATGTTGTTTTATGATTACTGTATTTTCTTTCTTGTATGCTAGGAAAGTATTATTATTTGAACAATTTATATTGTTATCCTGTAGATTCCAATATGGTCTCTACTGGCTTATCTATTACCAAAGAAAGTTGCTAATTTTGGGCTAGACATGGGAGAAGTTTGAAGTTTCACAAAACCTAAAGAACTTTGTCAAATGCTTTAAAGTTTTTTGTTGTTAAAGGAAAAACAACTTCATTCCTGAAACAGATTAAGATATTAAATGTCCACAAGATTTTTAATTAAAGTTAATTTTTAAGTAAAATCTGTGTCAATTGGAAGAGATCCAAAAGGTATTGGCTTGGCATTGTCTTATTTCTGAGCAACTGGCCCTTTCAGTTATTCTAATGACTTAAATTGGGAAACGCAATAGTCCCAACCATTGGGGAGATGATGTGGACATGTCTCCCAACTTGTTTTTTACTGCTTCAGGGGGTAGCCAAGTTAGACTGTACAGGATAAACTTAAAAAACCACAAATAGTCTGGTAGCACTTTAAAGACAAACAAAACATGCAGATGGTATACATATTTTGTCTTTAAAGTGCTACCAGACTCTTTGTATTTTTTTAAGTTTATCTTGTTTTGTACTAATTCTTGTCTCATTCAATTTTTGTGACTGGTTTCCCCTCAACTTTTCATATGTGCTATCGTCTATGGATAACATACTGAGGAACTTGAGAGGGGTAGCTGAATTAGTTTGTAATTGGAAAAACTTAAAAAACAACGAATAGTCAAGCAGCACCTTAAAGATGAACAAAACATGTAGAAGTTATCATGAGCTTTCATGGGCTCAACCCACTTCTTCAGATGAATGGAGTTATTAAAGGTCCAGTTCCAAAATAAATAGCGGATGGGAAGGGAATAAGCGGGGGTGGGAGAGGGCGGGGGAAGGGGGAGGCAATTAGAGTGTTCATGTTACATGAAGCTGATAGAAAAGGTGCAAATTGTTCTTAAGTACCCATTGTTTGATTTTTTTTTTTTTAAAGTCATTAGGATATGGATGGTAGTGTGCTAGCCAGATAATGACTTTATTCATACCTTTGTGATGGGTCCCAAACCTATAAATGAGGTTAATACCGAAGAACAGCACTTCTGTCAACAGCATCTGTATTGGAAAGCAAGAGTGGGGGGGATTAAATCATGAACAGCAATGTTCTACCTTGATGCTGCACATGAAAAGCTCTTGTTAATATTGGTAGGAGTTTCATGTGCTAGTTGAGGGCAGGTTAGTGTCTCTGAAAGCACAAAGGATCTACCACTTACATTTCTTGACAATCATGTTTTATTGTAAGAGCTGTAATACTGAAGAGGACTGTTATTAGTGATTCCAAGTAGCATGTAGCAGTAAGGATTCTTGATAGATACATTTTTATCTTGGGAAAGGAAGATTAAATTACTGCAAACTAAGACCACTTTACTCCTGAGTACAAACATCAAACTGAAGGTAACGGCTTAATTTATATGCATTGACATTACACCTTTAGTTGATTCACCTTAATTTTCCTGAGTGCCCCCATGCAGACATGCCTTTACCTAAGTTTTGAATATGGTTTTCTCCTTCCCAGTTGACTCTACATTTTTTTTCTATAATCTGGTTTAGTGGGCACTCTTCAGCCATGTTTAAACATATTGTTCAATCACAGATTCCCTGTTTGTGTTTAATGAAGTTTCAAGTACGGTTTCCACTGGACTGAACTTGTGTAACACAGTTATACACTAGTGTGGGCAGGAAAGAGAGAATGGAACATATTTTGAAGATTCAATTTAACAACAAAAAGCTGAAATAGTCAGTGCATTTGATATGTGATAAACAACTATATTCATTTAAAATATCCGAATATTTGTTGGCAAACTAATTTCCAGCTAATAAAAAGGCCCCACTTTCAGAAATAAAATTATGAAGTAGGAAACATTTTTATTCATGTTGGCTTTAATAAAATACTATTAAATACTGATTGTTTGTAACTAAGAATCTAATCATTAATTTGACACATTGGCTAGAGTTGCCCTGAGGCAAATGAACTATAATTTTAACAAAAATGTATTATTAAATGGAAGTGGGCTATAATGCTTTTAACGGCATATAAATGTTCAAAGATAAAACTGAACGTTTCCACTATTTAACATATTTTAGCAGAGTTGTGAAATCCTAATTTTACATTTCTGTGTTACCAAAAATACGGTACCATATGCTGTATTATACAATATACAGCATCTGTGCCAACTAATCTGCATAGCTGATCCTTTTTTAGCTATAACAGTTAAGTTTATTCTATGTGAAATAGATGTCAAGCCATATCTTGTCCATGAATGTAAGTCTGTGAGGAAAAAAATTGGTCCATGCAGTACAAGGGTACTTCATGTTCCTTACAGTTTGCTGTGGGGGTTGTAAAGCATTGTATATCAAATATCAAACAAACTATACAAAACAAGTCAGCCAGTTGAAGACTTCATCAAAATAAGTGTAGCATGATTTTCAAAACCATCTTTTATTGATAAAATGAACTCTGATTGGCTGAAGCATGTAAGTATATCAGACTATAGGCAAAATTCCCTGAAAGGTGTGCAACCACTTAGTTAGTACTACCCACGAGCTCAAGGCATCTGCTCAAAGTGGGGAGGAAGGCTGCCTTATGCCCAACCTAGCAGTGTGCTGTGGCCAGAGGAGGGATGTTCTGAAGTTGGCGCTTCTCTCCCTCCTCTTCTTCTCCTCTCCCCCCACCTCCCCTCCCAAACACAGCTGCAGCCAGGCCCTGGAACTCCCTGCTGAGGCCCAACCCCGGAGCTCCCCCTTACATCCCTGCACTACATCCTTTGCCCCTGCCCTACCCCAAAGCCTGCATGCCTAGCCAGAGGCTTCATACTCCTGCACCCCAACCCTCTGCCCCAAGTCTGAGCCCCCTCTGATACTCAGAAGCCCTTGGCTCCACCCCACCACATGAATTTTATTATGTGCATCAATATGGAGGTGATGTTTTGCACATCATCTTCATATTAGTGCACATAACAAAATTTATTCTGTTCAGGTGTGGGAAAAATTAGAGGGAACAATGGCTACAGGTGAAGTTCAGTCTAGTATACTGAAGGGCTGCTCATTTGCATGTTGCATTTGTGAAATTGACTCTCCTGCATAAACAGAAATCAGAGGTGGACTAGGCAGGCAACACTTCCCCCCATTTCCAGGGTCTGGAACTGCTTTGCAGCTAGTACAGAGTCTGTGGCAGACATTGGGCACAGTGAAACTCTCAATAGCAAGAGTAAAGCTTATCTGTGTGGGAGACAGAACTTTGTTGTGTGGGTGGGGAATGGCCTGAGACTGAAACGAACTTTCCCAAAAACTAAGATCACAAATCTCCATATTTCTGCTCTGAATGCAAGGTGCATTTCTTTGCTCTTACCTCCCCTAAAGTAAATGCATAGCAAGAGATGTATTTATTGAAAATAAATAAAACCCTACCAAAAACAAGCCTCTCCACTACACATGCTTCTCCCTCTGGGGAGAGAATGAGAGAAGAACAGTCACATAATGCACTACTGGAAGGTACTCAGAAACTATGGCTATGAGAACGCTGCAAAAGCCTGAATAGAATAGTTCTGTTTCTCCGCATATGGATTAGCAGCTTCAGTGTTCTAACTCATTTATGCAGTGTGTTTAAATGGCTGCTTTTGCTCTTTACTTGGCCATTCCAGCATCTGTAATTCATTGCTATCTTTAGCACCAGTCTGTGTGGGATCAAACTGGAATTATTTTGGGAAAATTTTATTACTAATGATTAATTTTTGAGGTAAGACAAGATGATCACAGTGGGCCTTCTGTTGGAATCTGTGACCCCGCTTACACTGCACTGCCACAAAGCTTGTGGTTCAGGTAAAGCAGAGGGCCTTGCACTGGTCCTGTGGAATTGAGGTGAGTTTCACTGAGGGCTTAAGTGATGTGAAGGAGTTAACCTAGGCCCTCTGCTCTGGAGTGAATTTCAGCCAGTGACAGTCAGATAGAAAATAGGGATGTAAAAAGTTGTTCAAAAATCTAACAATGTCACCGCTAAAAATCTTAGCAGATACACATGCTGGAGGCTCTGGCTAGTCAGTTGATGCATCAGTTAATTCCTTAACTCATCCATGCTGTCCTTCTGATTCCTTTCTATTTTTGCAATCAGCCATTGCTGGGGAAACTAATTGAGGCTATAGTGATTAGAGAGCTCATTTGTCTGTCATGATTCAGCACTCTGTCACACGTGGGTTTTTGCCCTCCAAGGGAAATCGAGAATTTATTATTTCTGTATGATGGGTAATACTTTATAGTAAATTATCACGAAAAACTGGATAATTTGCCAAATAACTTGTTTTTTGTTTTTAGACTTAACTAGTCAAGTAATATGTCACAAAATGTACCTTTGCCTTATTTATTTTTAGTTTTATTACTACATTTTATTTATACATTTATATTGAGAAAATGGTGACCTTTTCTAATTATGATTTCATTTCTTTGAAGTTGCAATTCAGTGTTTGGAGACAGTTTTTAAGATTAGCCTAGAAGATACGCATCTTGCAGTGCCACAGCACTTGACAGAATTGTTCTCAAATTCTTTTCACAAGGTAAGAATTGATTTTAGTCTTTTAGGGTTACTTTATCAATAATCAATTAAGATTGTGACTCTAGTGTTGAAAATGTGTTTTATATGTGGAAACTTGATAAAAATATTCATGAGTTAAATTCCTGTAATAGGTAGGAGAGCAGGATAGTTTTTGGACCCTGACATTACATAAGTTCAGCCAAAGCAATGATAACCCATGTGAAATATATTACTAAAAATAATGGACCTCCTTTTAACATGAAGGATATTTGCCTTAGTGATACTTAAGCATTTTGCAATTCCAGAGACAGTTGACTAGAAACTGCTTGAGGTCATTCACAGCTTCCTTGTCCCTCGGCCCCTCCACTTGTCCCTCTACTGTCTCTCCTTTTTTATGGATATAATTTAATTTCTTAAGCATTCTACACTACCAGTTTACGTAAAAACAAAAGCTATACTTTTAAAATTCAGAGGGGTCCAACATAGAAAGAATACTGTTGGTGCCAGAAAGTAGAGAGAAAAGTCAGGAGGAAGAAAAGCAGGATACCAGAAGTTAGACTAAAAAAACCACCACCACTTTATGTTTTAAGTGGGAACAAGAAACTGTCTTGGTCAAGTGTGTACTACAGAAATGGTATGATTGCTTTCTGTCTTATGGCATAATGGTGCAATTGCTAAGAGGTATCTCTGTTTACACAGCACCTTTCAGGATGAAGGTTATGAAAGAAGGTATTAATGTAGCCATAAAGTATACCCAAATCAGAATATACTTCTGTTTTTTTGTGTGTTTTTTTTTAATATAGAATGACATGTTGCCTCTCTCCGATTCATTGCCAGAAGATATTGAAAAGGCTGATCAGCTGAAAGATGAAGGTGTGTAGTTGATAAGGATGTGTCAGGCTGTCAGAAGTCCCTCATTATCGTGAGTGCCATCCTCAAGGGAGATTGTCAAAATGCAGTGCAGAATCCCCAAACTGTTTGAGGAAACTCCTTTTATTGCTCCAGTACTTTGAGCTGCAGTGTGTGAGCTCATTCAGCTTCCAGTTGTTCCATGCATCTTTGGTGGTCTTTTTGCTCATTTTCAGCATTGGCTTTGACTGCTGCTGTATGTCCCAGGCATCTGTGGTCAGCTGTCTCCTCTGTTTCTTTAATCTCCTTGATCTGGAATTCTACCATAAGCCTCTGGGGCTTACATTCTTCCTGGGTTACCCAGTTCCACTGCAGCAGTCTCTATGTCATCTTGGCAGGAGGGTGCTAAGATGCTTGTGTAGAACTTATGAGCAAAGTTTTCAGCCCCTGATCTGGGGTTCTCTGTTTATGGGATATTTCTCTTTCCTTACATAACGTTTCAAGGTCTTGTGTCTTAAAACTGTAATATGACTGTTTCCCACTTGTGTTTATTTTTTAACTTTTAAGAACTCTCAATAAATAAATCCAACTGACCCGTGAATGTGAATCCTGCCACCTATACCAAATGCTATGTTGTCTGAAGTGGCTCATGAGTGCCAACTTCAGGACAGACTGTCAAACTAGGGCAGAAGCCTGGTTGTGTGATGTGTAATTATATTTCATCAAGCCAGTAACAAATGTGAATGCCTGAAGCACTATAACAGTTTTACCATGGAATTACAGAGTCCCCTTGTGCATTCCAGTCGATCTTGCTACCTAGGCAAGTTGGACTAGGCAATAGATAGGTGGTGGGAAATAACTAGCCCGTGGGCCAGATGCAGTGCACCAGAGTTAGCTTGTGGTAGGCTGCTGTTGCTTTTATTTACCAGCCCTTCCACAGGTATGGCTGCTTAAAGTTCCTATTCGCCATGGATCACCATTCCTGGCCAACGGGTTCTGCAAGAAATGGTGCAAACTGGGATACCTGCCTTCCTACAGCTCCCATTGGCTGGGAACAGTGGTCTATGGCAAACAGAAATCAAGTTGCTGTACCTGTGGAGGTGCAGGTAAATTAAAGTGCCAGTGGCCCACCAAGGGCTAACTCGGACAAGCTATGCAGTTCTGTATGATCTTTAGGGCTGACCCTTGCCAACCAAGATTGAGATCTCTTACTTCTGCTTAGAAACCTTTGCCCCCTCAGAGATCAAACATTGCACGCACACAAGTTTTTCTTTTTCAGGGATTTTTTTTTTCTTCCCGTTACCCCAGATTCCAACCTGATGGAGTGAGTTCATGTTTTGGATCCTCTTCCTAGATGGAGTTAGAAATTCAAGAACACATATCTGCACTTTGGTGCTACACAATGCCTCGTTTGCCTGCAGTGGGCCTTTTATGTGCAGAACGAACACTTGATCTTAATTAATGCTGCTTTTTCTGTTTGGTGAGCTACACAATGAGAGGTTTATGGTGCTATCATTCAGTATAACTTTATATACCATGGGATACAGATATAAATAGTCATGTAGCATCTGACAAGCATTCCATTAAATCTGAATACTAAGCACAGTCTTATAATACTAATATGTATTGTAACTATACTAACTCAGATTAAAGGCAGACTCCTTTCCAGCTATGTATTTCTCAGTGTTCAGTGAGGCCCTGAAACTTGTGAGGTGCTAACATCTGGTCTGCTAGCATCCCAGTCTATGGAAGAAATCCTTTCATGCTGTCTTGGGTTTTAGTGATATTAAAGTGTTGGCATAGCTTAGTCAGTGGCAGTATTGTATCTGGACAACAAGTTCCACGTGAAAACTTAGTCTTATAGCTAATGCTGACTATGTAGTGCAGTACTAATGTGGGTTATAGGCTCAGTGCTGTGCTTCATGAGAAATGAAAAAAGGTTCATCCTGTCCTTTGGCTGATGGCTGGTTAAGAGCAAGTTAAAAATGAAAAGAAAGCCATGAAGCCCTGGCTAGCATTTCCTATTTGAGTATTGGAGGATCTAATGAACGTGTGGCTGTTGCTGAGTATATTGTGGCTTTCTTTATTTGCCAGTAGTTTCCACCCAATAGTATTTAACTCATTACTTCGTAAAGTGTATGTGATGGTTTGGGTAAAAGTCATCTGCAAAATGCAGAATGTCCTCAGCACCCAATGCAGTCATTGGACTTTAATGTTCAAGTTATGGTCCCACTGAAGTCAATGGAAAGCTCCCACTGAGTTGATTAAACTCTGGTTTTTACCAGTTATATAAAAAGTTTTACGTTTTACATAAAATGGATTACAGGCAGTCCCCGGGTTACGTACAAGATAGCGACTGTAGGTTTGTTCTTAAGTTGAATTTGTATGTAAGTCGGAACTGGTACATATTTTGCGGGGGACGGGGAGCTGGAATTAGGTGGAAAAGACCCTGATTCTCATACAACTTCCTTATTCTAAGAAAAACACATACTGTTTTGATATGAAGGTTTTTTTGGTTGATATTTTAATTAAAAATTGATCATAAGTTTCAGTGTTTCATGCTATATCCAAATCTTCCTTTTGGGGTACCTGAAAGATCCCAGTTATTCATTTAATAGTCAGAATCTTTGGTTTTTATAACTAAAAAAAGTTTATTCAATGCATATTACTGTTCCAAATAGAATTTGCTACAGATGGTTCAGTGAAATGGGTATTAAGTGTAATCAATAGTCATTGGAGAGCACAGTGAAATATTGATACAATCAAAGCTGTTGTTGTATTCTGCTGAGCAGAAAATGGAAATCCGTTCCTGTGAAGTGTGTGTGTGAATTTATCCACAGGATTAATTTTAAAGAAAAATTCCGTGTTGCGAACAGGAGGTTAGCCACAGGTGGATCCTCATTGTCCACTCACCCACTTTCAACCACACCCATCCCCTTGGGGCTTACCCTGCTCCGCTCCAGCCAGGGTGTGGGGTTGGGGCTTATCCCCTCTTCCCTTCTGCCCTGCTCCTCCCCATTCTTGCCCACCCACACCACTGTGTAATTTTTCAGCTTCACCTCTGCCAGGCTGGAAGGGACTTGTTAATTTCACGTGATGCTAACAAGACAGTTGCAGCTTAAGATGGAAAGAGCTGTTGCTCCCAAGGTGGGGACTGTAACACAATGGGTCTCACTGCCTGCTGCTCCTGCTGTTCCCTAGGAAATTAATTTTTCCGCTCTGGGGTGCCCCCTTTTGGCTGGTGTCTTGTTCCCCTCAGCATACCCGCGTCCTCCATGGCGAGAAAAGCCGCTCTGCATCTACCTGGTCTGCTGGGGGAGGGGGGTGCTAGCTCTGCATCTCCCTGGTCTGCTGGGGGGGAAGCGCCCCCTGCGCTGCCAGAGGTGGCGACAGTGGGGGAAGCACCCCACACTAGCTGCGCCTCCCCTCCCCCCTTGTAACTAGGGATCCGACATAAGTTGGATTGATGTAACCCGGGGACTGGCTGTATTATATCCCTAGTTTAAAAAAAATAAAAAATTTCCCGGTTCTTTTGCATTGTACTAAACATATGTACTCCAAATAATTTAAGTGTTAATGTTAATGAAAGTAAGAATGTAGCTTTGGTTACAGATACGCAGGAATATTGAATAGATTGATGGTTGTTTTGTACTATTTTGGATATGAATTCAGATTTGTAGTTATTACCCATAAAATACAAATTAGTATGTTTACATTTGGTAGGTGGAGGTATCCCTCTGGGAAAAGTTTTAATAAAGTGAAAAATGAAAAAATTGGCTGGATTTCCCCTTGAGGTCAAGGTCTCTCATTTTAAATGGTCAGCTGCAGTTGTTGAAATGACAAGGATTTACATATTTCATTATGACTTTACAAAGTATACTTTAAAAAAAGTTCAGCTAGATAATGAAGTGAGCCGTTAGCCTTTCCTTTCTGGAGCTATGAATTCAAACCTGGTTAGGTCAGAAGTGAAAAGTAATTGGAGATCATTGATCTAGTTTCTCTGGAATAGCTTTTCACTTCAACTGCCTGCTTCCACATGGTGTTGGGTACCTTTTGGAAAGTGCACTCAGTACCTAGTGCAGTTGTTGTATTTTACTGTTACTCATCACCTGCTAGGAGTATGCCCTGTACTAGCATGTAATCTAGGTCAGTTGCCAGTCTGACTTAAGGATATACTGTCTATTGAAATAGTTGGTTAGGAGTTGGTATGATTGATCAGTCTAGTTGGAGATGCCTAAAAATTATGTCTGTCTTTTCCTACTTAAATTCAAGCTTCTTGTCCTTACCTTCATTGTCCTCTTTAATTTATCCCCTTCCTGCTCTTATGCCAACTTCCTTGAATTCCTCCACTCTAACCTGGTGTACCTGCCTGTCATCTCTGGGCTTTCTTCCATGCATGCATGAATCATCTTTCCTGAACTCATTCATAGGCCACCAGCCCACTTCTTATTAATAGCACTCTGTGCTGTGATTCCTGTAAAGAATCAGCCAATTAATAGTTTAGGAGCAAACTGAAGAGTTGACACTTTCCATTATTATAGATTTTTTTAAAAAACATTTTACACATGTGCGTGCACACAATGTATATTTAATAATATCCTTTCCCCCTCTTCATGTTTCACTTGATTTCGTAGGACACTACTGAGTTTCGCCCAGGAAACTAATGTTGACATGTAGAAGTTGTCAAAAAAGCCACCAAAGCGTGTTGATACTTGCTCCCTCTGTCCAGACCACAAGATTGAGGGATTTGGAAATGCTCATTGTGATCCTTGGAGATCCAGTTTAACCTCTTGCTCATGAAACTGTACATGGGACACCTGGACAGCGATAAAAGACATTTTAACAACAGGCTCAGGTGCCACATGGTGGTTGTATGCACCTTTGGAAGATTGAAGGTGGCTCTGCAGCAGGCTAGATCTCATTGAGGAAAATATTCCCATGGTTGTCACAGTTTGTTGTACTTCACATGATTTGTGTGAGAGTACAGGGTGAATTGTTTGCTCAGCGGTAGAGCATTGAAGAAC